AAAAGCCTTATCAGCATAGGCAGCTTTATGCATCTGTCTCTCAGCACTACAGAATCCATTTTCCATGGAAGTTAACTTGTATCTGCCAAATGGCTGCAGAGGAGCTTTAACATCTTCACTTGCTCTTGGTTCTCCGTTTACTCTGCTCAGAAAAAAAACAACCCACACATCCCTTGACACTTTGCTTTCAAGATGCAGTAAATAATTCAGGCTCAATACATTATCAAAATACTTATCAAGGAACTTTTTGTTATCCAAAGCTCTGTGTGTCCCACAAAGCTGTCCGTGCTGGTAGCTTCATCTGTGTCATGAAAAACATCTCTTAACCAAGGTGACTCCAGCAAAGCAACCACTGAGAAATGCCACAAGCCAAAGGCAAGCTTTTCTTGCTAAAATACATCTTTCTTATTTGCATTGTCAAGGAAAAATGTTCTTGTTCCTTTTCATTAGAGGACTTCTGCTGTGCACCTATACAAAGCACAGACTGTCCTAAACATAACTAAAAAACAAGATCTACAAATCAGTATTTACTTTTTTCAAAATGAAAGCATCATTTCATTGATATTAAGACTGAGGTCCTTTAGACTTGGAATATCTGGTGAGTTTGAAACAGAAGTCCTAAAGAGGTATCAGGTCTTTAACTGAGGGGAAATTGAGTTCTCAAACAAAAAGCAAATGTTGCTGCACTTCCAGCTTAGCTGAAGGTTCAAATGACTTTAAGTACATCTTAAATCATTGCTGCTGCAAACATTCCTTACAATTATAACTGTAGATTGAAATTTTAAGTTGAAATTTACAAACAATAAAACCTAGCAACAATCACTTGCTTACAAAACATGAATTTTAAACCAAGGTGTAGTGGTTTATTTGATTTCATGAGGACAGCCTGAGAAGGGCTGCTTTTCTAAGCACAGAAAGTTTGGTTTGCTAACTTAAGCAAGCAGCGCAGCAAAAAATGCGTTTGGTCATTGCCAAACTAAGCCCAGCTAGGTGAAAATCCAGTAAGGCTGACATTTCACTTAGGAACCAGCTGTACATTGATTAAACTGGTACTTAAGAGACTCCTCTCAGTCACCCAGGACTGGGTGATGCCCCAGTTCTTCAGGTGGTACTTGTGCATTTGCTGTAGCTGAACATAAAGCGCAGCCATTCCCGTCTCTGGTGCTGGAAGACCCTGGAAACGAACCCACATTATTTTCAAATAAACATCAGTTAAAATTGATCACCATCATCCTTCAGACTGAAGACATGTAAGGCTGACTCTGCGCTCTAATTTCCCCGTTAATCAAGACAGTGTCAGATAATTTAAACCACGGACAAAGTGAATGTTAAACAGTTTCTCCCTCTAGTATGTGTTTGCAATCTGTAACAGACGAGCTCGTTAGCATTGACTTAGAATGTTATGTAATGGCTGAGGTATTTGTAATAAAAACAGTCTATTTCTGTTAGCCTGTTCTTCATAGACATAAAAGCTGTCTTCATCTGATTTTTATTAGGACTTCATCTTCCTCTGCTCTCGACGCATTTTTTAAGACTCCTGTGCACTCCATTTTCATTTCACCAATACTCAGTATTATTTTCTCCCACGTCCTCACAAGAATTTCAGCTTTTATTTTCACACTGCATTCACCCATAAGCTTCTACCGAGTTTTCTAAAACCCAAACCCCAAAAAATAATGAGAGCATGAGGCTGAGCAAAGGAAAAATTTCCTACAGAAGACGAACTGGTTCTACCAGTAAAACACCACCAGCAGTGCTGTCATTACAAGCCCAACAACCATCCTCAGCTAGTGGGAAGCTGCTGCATTTTCACGTGGTGGAGCTTTTCCCCCCCAAACCCTCCACTACTGCAGGAGCCTCTGAAGAGAAGTGTTTTTCCTTCTCTCACATCCCCAGTCCAGCACACAAGGATTTACTCCTCTGCAGGAGCACTGTGCAAGGCTTGAACTCTTCTGCAAGATTTTGATCTCCTCATTTTATCCACCCCTTATATGGCATTCATGCTACCCTCTCTCCACTCTCACATCCCTGCCGTTCCTCAGCCTGGAAATCAGCCTGCAACAAAGCAATTCCCAGTCCTGCAGGACACCTGCCTGAAATTGGCCCCACAGAACAGAATCCTGCTCTGACTTCCATTCTTTCTCTTAATTGCCACCCAGCATTCATTCAGACAGCCCCAAACCCACAGGGCTTGGAATTGCATCATCCCTCCCTTGCTCACTGGGGCCTCTTTCACTTTCCCCAGGGACACAGGACCTATGGAAGGTGCATCCCATAAATCTATAGCACTGGACCAGGAGCCCAAGTTAAAACTGGAGACTGATGTAACATTCTGCTCTACAAAAAACCAGGGCTCCCATTATGGAAAGTCTAAATGAGAGCAAAGATTTTATAAACTGCTACTAAACTGCCAGACACAGAATATTTATATTACCAAGACTCACAGAAGCAACTGTATATTGAGTTATACATATTTCATGGGCTATTATCTACAAAAGCCAAGAACTTCATACAAGCAATGTATCCACCCAGCAAGGCAGAGCTTGAGGTGCCAGACAGAGCCCCAATCCTGGTCTCCAAGGAGTGGCCTAAGAGAGAATCAAGCCCTCACTTCAGTTTAAACGGTGACCTCTCAAGCCCACATCACCAAACCACCTTTCCACTGAACATTCATCCAGTTCACACAACTCCCAAAACTTTGAGATTCTTTATTCTCAAGAAAACGGTTGCAGAGTTGCTCCAAAGCACCCACAAAATTAATGCAGAAGCAAAATTCTCTAGACTATAGAATTAAAAAAACAAAAGCCCTGACAGCCACACGGAGCTCCCGGCAATCAGTATTTAAGGCCAATCCTTTTGTTTCTCATACATGGACAAATGAGATCATGTCCTGTTTCCTGCCCCTTCAAAAGCAGTTTCTTGTCTGAGCAGAGCTCTTTTTTAAGATAAGACACCTAGCAGGCCAGGTGCCTCATTGCACAGGAAATAAAACTATTGAAAATCACATCCCCGTTCCTTCTGTTGGAAATATACTTCCAGCAATACACCTATTTAACCCCAACAATCAGGGCAACAAGGAGGAACGGTCCTTCCTTGAACATACCGACTGCAAGACGTTCCACCAAAGAATATATTTACAGAACACCCACGTGAAACACCACAAGGAAGAAAACCCACCATGCTCCATTCAAGGCCCATCACCATGCTCTCGAGCATCTCCCTCAGGAAGAGGGCCCAAACTAGAAATTATCTTTTAGCGTCAAAATTTTCGATCCCTGCATCCCTGGATTATGCCCGCTGCAGACCAAAGTGCCTGAATTTCAGCCGTGTCATCTCAGCACGCTCCCACCATCCCTTAACACCCCAGCCCCAAAATCCTGGCCCCGGGAGCACAAACAATGCCTTCCTTCACTCAGTCCCGCACCAAACCACCCAAGAACTGCCTTTTACCGCAGGCGGAGACTGAAAGAACCCCGGATGCGAATTTCCGAGTCGGAAAAGCGAGGCGCCTCGCCTCCAGCACCCCCAGGACAAGGCTGCTGTCCCCCCGCGTTCCTGCAGAAGAATCACAGCCGCCAAGTGAGCGCGAACGCACGCAGGGCTCGGCGCGTTCCTCCAGGAACCCCCAGAGAGAGAACGGCAGGGAGAAGAAGAGAAGAGAGGAAGGAGGAGACCAAGAGCCCTTAAAAAAAAGGAGAAAAGCGGGAGGCAAAAAAGAGGGCGGGAGAAGGAAGCAGCACCCCCGCAGGAGCGGTCCCGGCACAGCCGCCTCTCCCGCCGGCCCCGGGCGCGGCCCGGGCTGAGCCCGCGCTCCGCCGCGGTGAAGCGGAGGAGCCCCGCCGCTTACCGGGCGCGCAGGGCGGCGCTCGGCTGCCCGCGGGTCCCGGTACCGGCGGGGCCGCTGCCTCTCCCGGCGCCGCCGCCTCGGCCGCTTGCACACAGGGGCCAAGATGGCGGGCGGCCAAGCCGGGCGCCAACGACGTCTGACGTCACCGCGCACAGCGCGAGCCGCCGACCCCGCCCCCGCGCCGCCGGTCACGTGACAGCCCCGTGCCGCAGTCGCGCGGGCTCCCGGGGACAGGTGCTCCCCCTGGCGGCGCGGGCCGGAGGGCGGGGCCGCGCGGACCCGGCCCCGTCCCGGGCCTGTTCTGGTCCTGTCCCGGTTCTGTCCCGGTCCTGTCCCGGCCCCATCCCCATTCTATCCTGGTTCCCATCCCGGTCCTATCCTGGTTCCCATCCCGGTCCTATCCCAGCCCTATCCCAATTCCCATCTTGGCCCCATCCCAGCCCCGTCCTGGTCCCATTCCAGTTCCCATCCCAGTCCTATCCCTGTTCCCATCCCAGGAATTCAGGATTCCCTGTAATCCTAAGACTGCTCGGGCAATGTCAGGGATGCCTGCTTGCTTGGATTTGTATGTATCATTAATCATTATATAGCAATATATTAGCATATATAATCTTTCTCACACACCTTATCTGTTGACATGTCTATCCATACAACGGATAGATTATACATATACAAGGGCAAGAGTCTCCCTCTGCCACAGCTCGGGATTCTCCTCACACACCCTGATAATAAACCATTAATAAAACCATCAGCAAAGAGCAGATCAGTGAGGTTTATTTGTGGCTCCCTCCTTCCTGTCCCAAAAGTCACCAGACAGAGATGTAGCTCTCGACAGTTCATGTTTCACAAAATCTCAAGGAGGTGTGGGTCTTGCCCAGATTTCAGGGAGCAGGGCGAGGAAGGCTGGCCTCATGCTCAGCAGTTCAGAATGGTCCAGGGTGAACTCTCTGTGTCACCCTTGGTGGAACACCAGCAGGAGGTGGCTGGACACACTCAGCCCCAGGCTGGTGCCAGCTCCAGCCCTCTGGCAGCACCTGGCACCGCATCTCTCCCACTCAGCCCAGGCTGGTGCCAGCTCCAGCCCTCTGGCAGCAACTGGCACAGCTTTGCACCATCCCTACATCACCTGGCACCGCATCTCTCCCGGTTCCTTCTACAGCCGGGGCCCTGCCCGAGGGCTCCAGCATTTGAAGAGCCAAGCTGCGGTGAGCGCTGCTGGCAGAGCCAGGAGGCACATCCAGCCCCAGCCCGAGGAGCCGCTGGAGCTGTCCCGCAGCAGCCGCGTCCTCAGGGGCTTCAGCGAGCGCTGCCACTGGGTGAGGACGGCAGCTCTGGCCCCGCTCCAGCTGCCCCGGCCCACCAGCCGGTACTGGTACGGGGAGCAGGGCCCAAAAAAGATGGCCAGGCCCAGCCGGGGGTCTGTCAGCAGCAACCTCAACACGCTGGGCTTGACGCCAGCGCACGCAGCGATTTTGTCCACGTAGCTGATGAAACTCATCTTCAGGTTCTCCCTCTCAGATGGATTCCTTCAGTGAGAAGGAAGAAATAAAAGTCAGGTGGCATCATCCTGTCTCAGTTCCCAGCTGCACGGGCAGCAAAGGCCTCGGCTCAGACATCAGGTGAGCCCCAGGCTCTGGGGCAGAGCTCTCTTAGCCCCAAACAAAGCCAAAGACACTGAAAGAGCCTCTGTGGGGCTGGTGCCAGCAGTTCCCCAGGGCAGGGGATATGCAGAAGCTTGTTTTGTCTCTGCTGCATAGTTGTGGCTTCAAAATCAGCTCTACCTTAACAGTAGCATCATTGTAATGCCACAAGTAGCTTGCTATGTCCTTCCCTGAGGTTCAGGGGTGTGGCTTTGGCTGATTTCAAGAAGTAGAGATGTAGAATTTCAGAGATAAGGATGCCAAGGGGACTGGGAAAATCTGGCAAATGCAGAAAGCTTCCCATGCTGGGAGGTACCTCCAGGATTTTTTTTGGCTTGAAACCTTATCTCCCTCATAGGAGGGTGGACGTGCTGATCTGCTTGAGGAAAGTTTGAGACAGCCTCAAGTTTTTTCCCCTTGCACCTCAGGCTTCCATATTTCTGTGTAAACAGAAATTTCCATATTTCTATGTAACAGAAATGTCCATATTTCTGTGTAACAGCACCGTGGCGCAGTCATTGGGGCTCATGGTCATAACTCCCGTGGCTCTGTTTTGTCCCAGCTTTTCTGCAGTGTCCCATAAGCCAGCCCTGCCCCGCTGGCAGACCCAACCCCGAGGTCCGTTCCTTGCTCCATCATCATCCATTCCACATCCTTGTGGACACATCTCCACCTCCTGTAAAATCCCAGTGCCAAGGAGGCAGGCTGTCAGCTCCCACACACACAGTGGCCTGGTGGGACACTCACCTTGACCTGCCAAAAAGTGACACAAACCATCCCCCACCCACACTGCCCCGCTCCACAGGGGTTCTGGATGGAATCTGGATGGAACCCAGCTCTCCCCACTGCCCGGATTTGGGAGGGAGAAGCCACGAGATGGCACCCTCAGTCTGGAGGAAACCAAACATTCATCTTGATGTGCTGGGAACAAGGACATGGCTTGGAGGCCTGGCAGAGGGGGATCTCCAGAGAACGGGAGAGAAAGGGAGGGAGGAAAGGAGATGGGAAGAGAGGGAAGGGGAGCTGCAGGCCCTGCTCTTGTCATAAACTGCTGCAGAGAAGCTTATGGTGTCTTGCTTCATAAAGGAGTCACGGGAGCATTTTCTCAGCTCACTGAGGGTGGTAAGGTAATAAATGCAGAGTTGGGTGTGCTGAGCAGGTCCCTCCCTTGTCTGCCATCGAGTCCCCCCCTTCCCTGAGTTTATCCTGGCACACAGAACCCATCTCATCCTGACTGCAGGAGCCTCACACACCTTTTAACTGGTGGCTTCCTCTTCGAAACCTCAGCCATCATCCTGCTGGGAGGAGGCAGCTTGTTCCAGCCTGACAACAGAGAAACCAGCGAGCTCCAGCAGCACCTTAAGAGGACATGTTCAGCCCCTTCCCACAGTCCCAGCACCTTTCCTGAGGTGTGGGATGCAGCTAGTGGACAGAGGCTACCCATGGAGCTGAAATATGCCCTAAGCTCTGTGGGCAGCAGGTCAGGCTGCCCCAAACCTCCCACTCAGAAGATCTCTCCCATCTCCTACCTGCAAAGACCCCTGTCACCCAGCGAGCCTGCATTTCTGACCCCACCATGATGGAGCCCGTCAGCTGGATCAGGCCAATGATGGCCAGCGTGGGCTTTTCCAGCTGGGGAGGGAAGATGCAGTTGTAGAGGGAACGGTTGTCGTCGATGGCGCTGCGAAGAGACTCCTCAAGGAAAGGGAAGGAAAAGTTGTAGCCCGTGGCAAAGAGCACCACGTCAATGTTTTCTTCGGTTGTCCCATCTTCAAAAACAGCAGAGCTTTCAGTGAACTCCTTCACGTTTGGCTTCAGCACCACAGTCCCAGAGAGGAGGCAGAATGGCAGCTCTTCATTGATAATCATCTTAAATTTGGAGCTTGCAGCGGGGAAAAGAGAGCAGCGGTGTTAGTATCTGGGAGGGACCTAAAATGACTTTTTTTATGGTCAGAACTCCAGTGGTTTGCTATTCCATAAGTATCCCCCAAAACTGAGAATTAAGCATTTCATATTATGAAGACTCCCTGAGCACCCAACAAAACAATCAGAAAAAAACACCTCTTGCTGGAAGCCAAGCCATAGTTTGTGTGGTTGAACCATGAATTGAACTTCTGAAACTTGATTCTCCTTGTGAGGGCTGATGGGAGAAGCCAGTCCAGGAGGGAGTTGAAGCGGGTGGTGCTGACCATGTCCAAGGGGAAGCCGTGGTGTGAGACCCGGCTGATGACCCACGTGTGGCTCCTGGTGCTGAGGAACACCTGGGGGGGAAGGCAGGGCTCAACCTCCTGCCCAGGCATCTCCGTGGTTTTGCCCTGAGTGGCAAATCCCATCTCCTGCACTTGAGCCGATACAGTTAACCCAAGGGAAGGAGAGGACTTCCAGATGAACCAAACAGCTTGGGTGGCTTTGATAAAGTTCCCACAGCTGCTCAGCTGCCAGTCCTCCAGCGGCCCAAACTCTCCAGGAGCTGCAAAGCTTCTTCAAATGCCCTCAGTGAGAAGTGGAATTTATTGAGGAACCTGGGGACAAAGCTCCCTAGGGTACCTTGAGCTGATGCCTCAGGTTTTTGCTTTTATATTTTTCAGATTCTGTGCTGCTTTAGTGTGTAAGTCTAGGCTTCCTATTATGGGATGGTGAGCTCTCTGCACAGAGTAGGGAGACAAAACAATTCCTTCTCCAGCTGAGGACCAAGGACAAATGATCCAAATCTCAGGCCCACAACAATAAACAACATGGACTGAAGAGAGAAAAACAAGAAGGATGGGACTTCATTGGCTAAGGCTGTAATTGGACAATTAACTCCAATATAAAAATGGACCAGAGCTTATAAAAGTGAAAGACCTCATGACTGGTTGTGCATTTTGTGGCCATTTTGGGTTGTGCTGGCCAAGGTGGATCTATTGACTCTTCTTAATAAATCTCTATTTTATTCTTTAGCTCTGTCTAGTCTCTGTTCTAGGTCAGCCCTCACAAGGCATCAGAGCCACTGGCTCTCAGAGGCCCTGTCTGGACCACCATGGAGTTGTACCTTGGCAGCCACATGGCTCAGCTCCACGGAGAGGTCACCGCCGGTGTTGCCGATGCCAACCACCAGGACGCGCTTCCCTTGGAAAGCCTGCATGTCTTTGTACTCCCAGCTGTGGAGGCACTGGCCTTTGAAGCGACTTTCAATGCCTAGGCAGAGAGCAGGGAACATCTCCTACTGCCAGATACATTTACTCACCCCAGCCTTATGCCCAGATCCTCTGCAGCCCCCAACTCTCCCTGCTCCCACCTCTGCGTGCAGCTGAGAAGCCCATGGAGGCCCTCTGTACTTCCTCAGCTCAGTCTTTGCAAATACTAAGAGAAAGCCTGGCTGCACCTTTACAAGGTGTTTTTCCCATTCCCTGCAATGCCCCCCACCATTTCCATGGGGTCAGGGTGCTGCCTGCTCCAGTGTGGGGGCTTCATGGAGCAGGCAGGCTCGCAGAGCAAAATCCAACCAGGGGACCCATGGGTGCTGGGGGAATCCCAATGCTGGGACAGGCCTTACCTGGGAAAGAAGCCAATGGCAAGTAGGGCTCCTGGTAGTGGCCAGTGCAAACCATGACAGCATCGAAGACATGGGACTCACGGACACCATGGGTCTCGGTGACCACCTCCCACTGGCCTGAGGCGCCGAAATCCGGGCACTTCCTCACACTGAGAACTGTTGTCTTGTACAGAAGCCCAACAGAACAGCAGTCAGGGACCATGGAGATGTGCCTGTGAAAGGCTGGGGCTGCTGGGAGCAGGCTGGCTCCCTTCCACTTCTGGAGCTGTTAAACCCCACCCTGCATTTCCCCTGGTGATGGCACTGGGGGCAAGCCTGTGTTAAACCAGCCTTAGTTAAAACCTGGGGCCTAAAGGCTGTGTTCAGGACTCAAAAGGCACGTAGTCCTTGCAGGCTGGCACCCGGCCTTGGCCCATCCCACCGCCAATCTGCAGCTAGCCATGGCCCTTCTCCCCGTGGGTCCCTGCTCACCTGGAGGCGTACGTGCCGCAGGAGGTCGAAGTGCCGGGCGTACATCCTGAGGTATTCCAGGACCAGGCTGTGGGGCAGGTAGTTGGGAAAATCCTCGGGGAAGGGGAAGTCGCTGAAGCAGGACATCTCCTTGGAGGTGTTGGTGATGACTGAGCGGTACACAGTGATCCTCCTGTTGTCTGTGGAGTCCTGTGTGAAGCCAGTGCTGATGTTTCCAGGCGTGCAGGGGAAGACTTTCTCCCCATCAAGTATATGAGTATTTTTCTTCCTCACATTTTGGTACAAGGAATAAGCCAGAACTAGCACCTGGAGACAATCGTTACTGCTCCCTCTATTGGATTAAGCTCTTTTCTGACCTAGAGATGGGGCAACTGAGAGGTGTTTAAAATCTTTTATTCCATTTTCAGTCTCATGTGAAGGGTGAGACAATACAGATGTTATAATTCACGCCATCAAAATCAGAAGCCAACTAATTCTTAATTAGAATACACTATAAGTGTTTCTTGGCCTATCAGTTTTTGCCACCCCATGCTGTAAATGCCTTAAAGCCAATAATCTAAAATTACCCTTCGTGGGTCCTACTACAGTGCATCTTTCACAGGTCTACTTCTCCAAAGTATCTAGTCTTATTTGCAAGGTTATCCTTTGAAACTTTTTTCTAGTTCCATTTCTCTCCCAACAATGTCTGTCCTATTCCATGGCATTTCTAAGTCAGCATTTCTTATCTCAAGGTTTGCATACAGATGCACACTGTGTGAGCCTTCTGCCAGGCTTTGAGAATTCTCTACAAATCCATTTCCCACATTTCCCCCTCTCTCTTGAACGTAACAAACTTCTTTGATGGCATTGTTTATAATTTGCCATGTACAGTGAAGTACACAAGGCACAATCACTAACACTGTCACTACAACAATCAATGCACGTAAACTTATTTTGCAAAACTCCATCCAATTCCCACGCCCTCCATTTCCATCTCCAACTTGGAGCTGGGAGGAGCCATCCTTGAGGGCGTGGCCACCCTTTCCTCTTTGCTGCAGTCCAAGAGCATCCAAGGAAGGGGACAAACCCGGGGACAAACGCAGAGGGCACTGACCGTGTAGCGCCAGATGCCGCCGATGTCCTCGCTGCTCTCGAAGCAGGTGGGCTCCAGCCCCTCATCCAGGCAGCACTTGACAGAGGCCAAGCCCCCAGCCCCAGCCCCGATCACGGCCACACGCCGGACCATGCTGGCCTGCAGCAGGTGACAGGCTGGTGTGACAGCAACTGGAAACACAACAGCCCAGGGATTAGCAGAAACGCCAGCTCCTTCTTCCCAACCCCGGCAAAACACCCCTGGTCTTCTCCAGCTGCAGGTGTCCATGAAGGAAAACTGTCCTGGGAGAAAGCCACGGCCAGCGTCCTGGGAGAAAGCCACTGCTCTGCTAGTGCAAGTGCCGTGCACAGATCCTGCTCATTTCCCTTCGTGCTGTGCCAAACCCACTCTGAGGGTCCAGGAATCTCCCTCCTCCATGGGGGGAAAAGGAGGCACTTTTAAACCTCGCTGTTCTGCCGCTTCAGTTTATTCTCTTTTCCAGCCTAAACCAAGGCATGCAAAGAAGTTGCAGCTATCTTCTTCTGCCTGATCATCCTGAAACCTTTGGGAGAAGCAACTCCAGCTAAGCTGGCTAGTTTTCACGCTTTCCTTTTTAACTTCCCATTAAAGAGCAATCTCTTGAAAACAAAAAGGGTTTAAAAAGAGGGAAAAAAGCAAAGCAATGCCTGACTGAGCAGCAGCACGGCACAGCCATTCAGAAGCTAGACAGCTCCGTGAAGGCAAGGCTGGGATTACAGGATATACAAAAGGTAAGAAACCCAGGAAACGCTGGGTATAAATGGGAGGAACTCAAAACCGGGGTGTGTAAACTGAGCTGCACCGAGCTTGACTGGAAAGCAAAGAAACTAGGAAAAAATGAACCCACGTGAACTTTGATTAGATAAGAAATACTGCTACTGCAGGGTCTGCAGAAAGAGTAATTTATAACTTTTTCTATCTGTTTTGTGTCAAAAAGTAAGTTAACATAAATAAAAACTGGAGGAAACTGAAGAAAGCCAGGGAAGAAATGAGGGAGGTGCAAAACAACTCCTTTGGCATTCACAAGCCTGGCCTGAGCCACTCCTTGATATGCAGGAACAGGGCAGGACATGCCCACAGCCATCTGCCTCGTTTCTGGAGCCTTCTTTGGCTTCAGGAAAGGGCAGGCAAGCTCAGGGTGCTCAAGCCACCCCACTTTTCCAGCGCTGCCTGCAGATGGCTTTACTCCAGAGGGTCCCTGCAACACCCCTCTCCCCACACCAGCAGCAAGGCAAAGCTAGCAGTGAATGCCAAAACCCTGGAGAGCTGTCTGCCCACTTTTAAACCCTGCCAAACCGACCCAAGAGAACTGAGGAGCAAACCTTGCCGGACAGCGCTGCGCCTTTGCCGCTCTGCCCTCCGAATTTCCCTTGAGTTTCTCTGGCTGTGGATTGGAAGGGAAGGCTGAAGTCCAGGTAGCTCGCCACAGCTCTTGCACCACTGACCTTTACACCTGCATTCCCCCGCCCTGTGGGCTTAAACGCACTGGAAGAAAGTTCTCAACCTGCCTGTGGCAGTGCCAGGTGAAAATTCAGAGATAATCCCAAGGGGAACACGCTTGCAAGGACTCCCACGCTGTAACTTGTCGCTGCTCCAGCCCAGGCAGCAGCGTGGGGCTGTCCTGATCCTTTTGTGGTGCCTCTGCTGGGCTCATGTTCTCTTGGCATCCCCAGGAGATCAGCAGAACGTGCTCCCTTGGCCAGCAGACGGCGTGGATGTGGGACATGGAGCACCTCCCATGTGCAGCTTCATTTTGGGGAGTCAGGGAGAGCCCTGAGAGCCCCAGCCTCGTGAGTTGCTCACAGCAATTGGCAGCACAGCCCTGGCTCAGACACGGGCTCTCCCCCCCCCAGCTCTTCCCATGCACACAAGGAAAGGACAGGGAGGCATCTGCAGCACGCTCCTGCCACAGTCACTGAGATTTTATTCATTTAAAGTGTCTCCATGCACAAAACAAAGCCTTAGGATTGTTCAGTGGTGGGGCACGCAGGGAAGCAAAGGCAGGTGTGCTCAGCCCCACAGGCTCATGTGTGACAAACCACCACAACTGGAAAGATGCACCCATTCAACCCCAACTGGGGTTTTGGGGTTGCAGTGTTTAGGTTTGGAGAAGGGGACAGCCTGGTTTGAAGAAGGGGACAGCCTGACCTGTGTACACAGCCCAGATAATTCCTGTGATAGATAATCACAGGAATATTTTCCCAAATAATTTTTGCTGCTGTGACACACCACTTTTGCTGGTCTTGTCCTCTCTGCATCCTGTCTCGTGTGATCCAGGCACAATCATGGCACCAATCCCTGCTCTGTTCCTGGCAGCAGGCAGGGGAGCAGAGGGGCAACAGACACTTGGGCAAGGCTGCCATCCGTGGCTGATGAGGCCTGCAAAGCTGGGCTTGGGGTTGAGCTGGAGCAGAGGGAGGTTCATGCTACAGGTTGCAGATTAAAGCTTGTTGCCATCTATTGAAATCCTTTTCCCCAGTCCCGTGGCACACTGAGGAGCTGTCTGCCCTGAGATAAAATCCCTCAGGACAAAAAAAACCCAACCCAAACAAACAATAAACAAACAAACACGCTCTGAAAGCTATAGGAAACCAAAAATCACAGCAGCCAGGAGCAGAAGGAATCCCACCACGGTCAGGAGAGACAGGAAAGAGCTGGAGGAGGCAGCAGGGACTCTTGTTCTTGTGGGCTTCAGGACACGGTCCCACTGGGTGAGGATGGCCTGCCGTGCCCCCTCCCAGCGCCCAGGACCCCCCAGCCGGTACTGGTAGGGGGAGCAGGGGCCGAAGAAGATGGTGAGGGCCAGCCAAGGGTCTGTGCAGAGCAGCCCCAGCACGCTGGGCTTGGCACCAATGAAGGAGGCCAGCGTGTCCAGGTAGACCAGCCACTCGGTTTTGAGGACTTCGTCAAAGGTCAGACCAAACCTGAATGAACCAGAGAAGAGAAAGAGGCAGGAGGAAGATTGGTATCAGCAGGGCTTAGAGGAACTGGGGTGGAGATCCTCTGCATCCTTGGAGTTATTGCATCTGGAATACAGCTGGGTTCTCTAGGGAAGGACTGGATGTAGGTGCAGTGGGAACCTGTGACACAAATCCTGGCCACCACACAGCTCCTGTAAAGTGATGCTGGCTCGAGTCAACCTTTCTCTTCCTCACTCACAAGTTGCACACGTTCCTCCCCTTCTCCTTGGTGAATCTTTGTTAGCAGACTTTGGCAAACCAGTTTGGAGTCTTTTTCAAAGCAAGCAAACAAAAAACCCCTCAAACCCAAATCCCTTTGTTTTTTGCAGAAAAGTCATGTGCAGCATGAGAAAGGTGGTACCCTTTAGTATCCCTCACGTTCATTTCCACCAAATATTGCAAGAATACACAGTGACTTGGAGAACTGCTTCCAGTTCACCTTCTCTGCAGAATTCACAGCTTATGTCCCACCTTCAGAGGTCTGCAAAAGTCCACATCCACTTAGCCTTGTATTGTATTCTGTGCAATTCTATACTTCACTCTCCTATAGCTTTTCTCCTATAGCTATTTAAGTGACCCATGGATTTATCTTTTTAGCCTTTTGCCTGCCTGTGAACCACACTCCAGTGTGCTCAGACACCTGCTCACAGTGAGTCAGGTCTCCATGCTGTGAGGTGAGACAATCTGTGTGTACACCTCGCTGGTTGTGGGTTGGCTTTTTTCCCCCCCAGCTGAATTACTTTGCATTTATTACCATTAATTTCTCTGCCATTTTATCTCTCAGTCCCTGGGGATCTTGGTGTTCTTCCCCAACTCCCAAGCAAGTTTTCACCTTGAGTACCCTGAATTAATTTCTTCCTGTCACCAACAGGCAAAATATCAGTGTTAAATCAAAGTTTACATTGGCTCTTTACAAGTGAGTAGAGGGGAAGCTGGATCCAGGAATCCTCTCCTCTCTTCTGCCATGTGTGCAGGGAACAGGCACAGAGTGCGAGCCCCAAAAACTCCAGAGGTTTTTCAATCCTCAAAAAAACCTTTGGGGCTCTGGGGAACGACTTACCATTGGATTTGGTTTTTCTTTCTCTCATTTACTTCCTTCTCCATGACAGCCTGGGGAGGCAACTGACACAAGCCTGGAAGAGAGAGGAGAGTGCCCTGCCGAGTTTAACTCCTGGGGGGGAAGTGTGAACTCATTCAGTGATGCAAAATGTGGGAATCCCTTCCCTGGGAGGGCAGGAAACTCTCATTGCTGGCAGTTTATTTGGCAGTGCTGCAGTCCTGCCCAAAGCCAGCCCTCCAGTATTCCAAATTCACCCACACCTCCTCCTGCTCTTACAGATGTGTGCTGTCAGGGCACAGGCAGGTGATGTGGGGTCAGATGCGGTGTGCAAGCCCCAGAGAGGATCACCCCAAAAAGAAACCCCACAGCTTCTCATCTCTGTGGAGTAGTCCTGACCTAGCCCTCCACGAGGTTATTCCTACTATTTTTATTAAAATCCCTAAACAAAACACCAGTAGGTTTCTTTCCTCATTCATGTTGCTGTAGCTTAGCTGAAATGAAATAACTTGGGAAGTCTGAGCCTTGGAAATGCTCCCTTGTCTGCTCTGAACTTCTTAGCTCTGGGATCTCCCTGGCTGGAGGGATAAACTGTGTCCAGTTTTGTCTGAGCTGCATTTTGGGGGGATAAGGAGGGCTCACATTTGCTCCCCTACCTTTGAAGACACGGCTCACCCAGCGTGCCTGCATCTCTGCCACGGGCATGATGGCTCCAAGGGGCTTAATCAGCCCAAGGACAGCCAGGGTGGGCTTCTGCAGGTGGGCTGGGAACACGTATTTGTAGAGGGATGCGTGCTTGTTTTCCACCCTGATGATGGATTCTTCCAGGAAGGGGAAGGAGATGTTGTAGCCCGTGCAGAAGACAACAATATCGATGGGCTCCTCCTCAGGGCAGTTGTGGAAAAGGACTGAGTTGTCCTTGAACTCCTTCACGCCCGGCTTGATGGTGATCCTGCCTGTCAGGATGTAGCTTGGGAGGTCGTCGTTCAGCACGGGCTCCCGCACCAGCCAGCTGTGGAGAGCCAGGGGCTCTGAGAGTGGGGCACCACAAACAAGCCTTGCTGGTCCCCTGCTCCTCCTCCCACCAGCTCACACCTCCCAGT